AAACGTCAGCCTTCCTGCTCCTCTGATGCTGCTTGGCCTGCTGTGTTCATCCAGCTCTACACCTTGTTATCTCAGATTCTCCAGCATCTGCAGTTCCTACCATCTCAGAGATTCATAGTACTTGGTCCACAACAGCTTGGAGTGACTTTTCACAACAATATTTAATTCTGCACCTCATTAATTATGGAACCGGCTTTTCAACACCCTGCTTGTGTGACAAGACAGGTGACACAAAAGTACTCGCTATTACAAGGACCTTTTTCTTTTCTTTACCTTTGAAGCATTTTGCGGCTTCGGATGGGCATCAGAATGGCAGCAATTAGGCAGAGATCAAGGAGCGAGTTTAGGAAACCAATGGCAGCAGCGGCAACATCAGAATGGCAGCAAGTTCCAAGGGCCAACAGAGGAGGGAGTTTGGGGACCAGACGTGGCTTCTGCAATCGAAGAGTAACTTCCAGGGGTAGGTGGCGGCGGTGGCAGGAGCGAGTGAGTTCCGGGGACATCGGACATGACTCCTAAGATCAAGGAGCAAGTTCTGAGGGTCGGCGGCGGCAGCAGCAGCATGATCTGGAGGCCTGCAGTGGCAGCGGCTGGACAGAGTTCAGGAGGATAGGTTGGCTGTCAGTTTTCAGTGACTTGTTGCTTCAGGGATGGAGGCCCACTTACCTTATAGCGATACGGATGTTTCCCTTTCTTATCGGCTCTTTTTCTTGTATTTCTGCTCTTGTTTTTATTAATTCTGTTTTTTTGTATCTAAAATGGTTATTTTTGCTTTGTATCTAAGATGGTTGTTTCTGTTAATTCTGGTTTTTTTGAACCTAAGATGGGGCTGGAGAATGGCAACTCCATACACTTCTCACTGTTCTCCTGTATCCTTTGTACTTGAGTACACATGACAAGAAAACCTAATTCTAATTCTTCCAGCATCCTGGCACTAGTACCATATTTATGTTTTGTTAATGGTGATTTGTCATCCCTAGTCACTGGGAGATGTAATGATGATTATATGAAAATATTTATATGGCTCTGTACTTGTGGCAAACTTACCCTCTAGAAAGAATTTAATTAATATAATCAAGGACATGTGAAAGCTTTGTAGTTTATCCATTTGATCTGCGAGAAGAACAACTCGCAGAGCAATTAAAAATGTTAGATAACAAGGTGTAGAGCTGGATGAACACAGCAGGCCAAGGAGCATCAGAGGAGCAGGAAAGCTGACGTTTCGGGCCTAAACCCTTCTTCAAAAAATGTTGGTGTTCATTTTCTGAAGAAGGGTCTAGGCCCGAAACATCAGCTTTCCTGCTCGGCCTACATCATCCAGCTCTACACCTTGTTATCTCAGATTGTCCAGCATCTGCAGTTCCTACTATCTCTATAATTAAAAATGTTGCTTTCCGAAGGATGTTTACAGCAAAACATTTAATACCTACATGCAATCAGAGTTAGGGTCAGATCTATAATTATTAAAACAATTTAAGTCATGCATTAAAAAATCTGAAGAATACTGATTTAGGACTACTGCATAATTCATCAATATTAAACTGCAAAACATGGTTACATTGGGAAAATAAACAAAATTTTCACAACACAATATATTTTGAAGATTTACACAATGAAGTTATAATGCAATGAAAATAGAAAATGCTGGAACCACTGGGGAAAGGGCAGGAAAGTGTAGGATCAGCCATGATCCTACAGAATAGCACAGCAGGCTTGAGGGACCAAATGGCCAGCTCCTGTTCCTATTTCTCATGGTCTAATTCAACAACATCTGTGTAAAGAGAGAAAAAGATTTAACATTTTAGTTCTGTGATCTTGCATCAGAACTGGGAAAAATTACAGCTAAGTTTGTTTATCTCTCGCTCTCAGCATTTGGTGCTCAATTCTCCAGCACTTTCTTTTCGTTGCATTATTACCTAATTGAATAAAACTTCAAAAGTATGTTCTGTCGCAAATGTGCAGTATTTTCCAGTGTTGTCATGTTTCACTAATTGACACGCAGAGTGAAAGAAAACCCAGCAAATGATTTTCCATTGTGAAGTACACGAGTCAGAACAATACGTGTCATTTGAAAGTTTGACTGCTCAGGCGCTGATGAGCTACGAAGTACACTTGCAGATCTCCAATACTCTGAGTATTTTGGTTTTCAGTGAAGTTGGAAATGTAAGAGCAAGAGGGTGAGCGGGACGGGGACCTAAAAAGAAATTTTGAAGAAAAGGTCACTAGACTCGAAACATTAACTCTGGTTTCTCTATAAACTTTCAGACGCCGCCAGCCCCGCTGAGTCTCTCCAGCACTTTCTGTGTTTGCTTCAGATCTTCAGCATCCACAGTTTTTATTTGAAAGGGAAGGTCTGTGACGAGGTGGAAGACAATAAAAGGCAGGCTTTCAGGGCCAAAGGGGATATAGACGGAGCAGGAACAGACATAAACAGGGATTTGCCTGGAGTCGGCTCTGGCTCTAAGGCTCATTTCAAACAACCGGCCACAGCGGCCCGGCCTCCCTCGGGGCCCGAATCAAACACCATCCTCGGCTCTCTTTTACCTTCACCTCCTCCACCCGGCGGGCTAACTTGCTGATCTTGGTGCCGATATCCTCCTTCTCCAGTTTCCCCGACGACGCCAACACCTCAGCCACGAACGACGCCATTTTCGTCCTCTATCCCGCTCAGACAGCCTCGCGCATGCGCCGTGGCCGCGGGGCAGCACGGGAAATGTAGTCTTTCGTTTCCCCACCGTCACCACATCGAACCAGGGCCGCCAGGCGTGACGGGAAATGTAGTCCTTCCCCTCCCCACCATCACCACTGCGAACCAGAGGCGCCAGGCGTGATGGGAAATGTAGTCCTTCCCGTCGGCCCCCGCGCACTCCCCATTCAAACTCCAGCGCGGGAAACCCAGCTTTCCATCCACTGTAGATTTGAGTCTTGTGTTCTTGTGGCATACCGGTAGCATCCCAACCTCTGAGCGTAAGTTTATGTCCCTACCTGCTCCAGAACCTCTCTGAACAGTTTGTTTAGAAAATTTCGCCAGACCTCTCTATGGTTGTGTGTGTGTGTGACCTGGGATTTATCAAGAGGAGGTGCTGGTGTTGGACTGGGGAGGACAAAGTTAGAAGTCACACAACACCAGGCTGTAGTCCAACAGGTTTATTTGGAATCACACAAGCTTTCGGATGCAGCCTCTTTATCAGGTGCAGTGAGAGAGCAGGGCACACAGACACAGAGTGTATAGGCAGAGAAATCAAAAGATCATACAACTGGTGTGAGTGGAGTGTCAGATAATAAGTCCCTGCAGGTGACCAAAAGTGTTAGATAGTGTGTAAAGTGTTTATAAAGTCAATGTCAGCGCAGTGCTGTCATGACGATCAGGCAGAGCCACAGGAATATACAAAAAGTGACATCTCAGGTCAGACACTGATTTGTAGGTGTGAGTCTTTGTTCAGAATCTCTCTCAGAGTTTTAACCTGGAATCAGGCTGGTATTATTCTGAAAACTGGAATTTTTAAGATGCCACACTGACTGACTGTGACTACAAATTGTGTGTTTTCTGAAGAAAATGGAATGTTTTGGTAAATAAACAAACATCTTGGATGAAATGATTCACCCCATAGATTTATATGTGTGTGTGAGGGAGAGACAGAGTGTGAGTGTGTGAGAGTGTATGTTCGAGAGTGTGTGTGTGAGACAGAGGGTCAGTGTGAGTCTGTGTGAAAGAGTATGTTTGTGAGAGTATGTGTGTGTGAGATAGTGTAATAAGTAATTCAAAACTGTACAAATTAATTAAGATAGAGAGACCATAACAATTTATCAAGGTGATGCTGTCAAAACAGGAAAATAAGGAAGACTTTGTAGACAGAAAACAGTGTGGTGGGGTCACCTGTAGCGTGACATGAACCCATAATCACAGTTGAGGCCGCCTTCATGGGCCATCTGTAAAATCTTCCCTACGTTCCCATTTTGACAGCATCATCTTGATAAATTGTTATGATCTCTCTATCTTAATTAATTTGTACAGTTTTGAATTACTTATTACACTCTGTCACACACACAGTCTCTCACTCACACACACACATGCTGTCTCACACAAACACACTCACACTGACCCTCTCTTACTCATAGTCACGTACACTCTCACACACATTCTCAAGCACACACACACATACACGGTCTCCACACACAAACAAATCTAAAGGTGAATCATTTCATCCAAGGTGTTTGTTTATTTGCAGGTACATGCTATTTTGTGCAAAAACACTATTTGTAGTCACAGTCAGTCAGTGTGGCATCTTATAAATTCCAGCTTTCGGAATAAAATCAGCCTGATTCCAGGTTAAAACTGGGAGAGATTCCAAATAAAGCCTCGCACCTACAATTTAGTGTCTGACCTGAGATGTCACCTTTTGTTTGGGAACCCTGCAGCCCAATGGTATCAATGTGGATTTCACAAGTTTCAAAATCTCCCCTCCCCCTACCGCATCCCAAAACCAGTCCAGCTCGTCCCTGCCTCCCTAACCTGTTCTTCCTCCCACCTATCCCCTCCTCCCACCTCAAGCCGCACCTCCATCTCCTACCGACCAACCTCATCCCGCCCCCTTGACCTGTCCGTCCTCCCTGGACTGACCTATCCCCTTCCTAACTCCCTACCTACACTCACCTTTACTGGCTCCATCCCCGCCTCTTCGACCTGTTTGTTTCCTCTCCACCTATCCTCTCCTCTATCCATCTTCTATCCGCCTCCCACTCTCTCCCTATTTATTTCAGAACCCCCTTCCCCTCCCCCTTTTCTGATGAAGGGTCTAGGCCCGAAACGTCAGCCTGCTGCTTGGCCTGCTGTGTTCATCCAGCCCTGCACCTTGTTGTCACCTTTTGTTCATTTCTTTTGATCTGCCTGATTGTCATGACAGCGCAGCACTGACACTGACTTTATAAACACTTCACACACCGTCTAACACTTGGTCACCTGCAGAGACTTATTATCTGCTCCTCCATTCACAGCAGTTGTATGATCTTTTGATCTCTGCCTATAAACTCTGTGTCTATGTAGCCTGCTCTCTCACTGCAACTGACAAAGGGGCTGCACTCCAAAAGCTTGTGTGATTCCAAATAAAAACCAAAAGAACTGCAGATGCTGTAAATCAAGAACAAAAACAAAGTTGCTGGAAAAGCTCAGCAGGTCTGGCAGCAACTTCCAGTTCTGAGGAAGGGTCACCGGACCCGAAGCGTTAACTCTGTTTTCTCTTCCACAGATGTTGCCAGACCTGCTGAGCTTTTCCAGCAACTTTGTGATTCCAAATAAATCTGTTGGACTATAACCTGGTGTCGTGTGACTTCTGGTTTTGCTGGGATTAACACAAATGTATTTCAATCAAGAAATTTTGACCTTATGTGATGTTAATTTCCCTGGACCAGTAATTTAATCCTCCCGCCCCCTAATAGTCTAATATCCTGGAGAATGTGAGTTCAAATCCCATCATGGCATGTGGTGAAGTTTGAATTCAATTTAAAAATTCTGAAGTTTAAATGAAAAACATTTGCCCAATGGTAACTACACAGCCACTGGTGTAAAAATCCTTCTGGTTCACTAATGTCTTTTGCAGGAGGCAATCTGCATTTCTGAAACAAACAAATTGCTGGAGAAGAAGGATCACTGGACGCAAAACATTATATCTGTTTCTGTCTCCACAGATGCTGCCAGATCTGCGTTTCTCCAGCAATTTCTGTTTATATTTCAAATATCCAGCATCTGCAGTTCTCAGTTTTACTTTATCACTTCTGCTTAAGTCTGATGTTGAATCAAGATTGAATTTAGCTGTTTTAGAGGCAGGAGTGCGATATAACTGAACATTGCTGGTTCTTTTTATTCACTCATGGGATGTGGGCCTTTCAGGTTAGTTGAGCTCTTCCAGGCTTCAAAAGGCTGATGTTTAATTTTCAGTCTCTTATCCTTTGTGCAGTTAATATCTCAAAATCACACACCTTTCCTTGGCAAGTGAAAAATAATTCTGTTACATCAAATTCTAAGTTGACAATTACGCTGCTTTTTCATCCACTAGACTTAAATCTAAAGGGTCACTGCATCCATTCATTTCTAATTTTACACACATGAAGGGTGGTTTTCTGTACATTCTCTTCACTTACAAATTGCAAGTTAAAGATATTGCATATATATAAAGTATATGATATAATATTAATTATTCAGGCAAATGACTAACTGCCATGTCTTTTAAGGAAGGATAACTTCTATCCTTACTTGGTCCGGCCTACATGTGACTCCAGGCCGTCAGCAAAGTGTTTGACGCTTAACTGACCTCTGGGCAATTAGGGATGGGAAAAAAGGGCTGGTCTAGCCTGAGACATCCACTTGAACGAGTGAATTAAAATAAAAAGCCCCAATCAAGTTCCAACCAGTTGTATAGCAATCCTGCCACTAAAAAGAGTTATTGATTCCAATCCCAAATCACTGACTTGAGAACAACATTTCGACATTATACTGCAGTACTGAGGGAGTGCTGTTTTTGTTTTGTAAAAAATGAGTGCCCTGTCTATTGCCCACATTCACATTAAAGATGACACAGTTTCAAAGAAGAATATAAAGTCCTTCAAAGTGGCCCAGTCTAATTTATTCCTCAATTAACATAAAGAAGTCTTTTGTTTTGATCTTTGTCACATCAATATTTGTGATAGTTTGCTGTGCTCACAGCAGTTGATATTCCCTGCGTTAAAGCAGCAATTATGCTGTAAAAGTACTCCACTAGTTGCTAAGTAGTAAGAAATGTTCTGAGGGCATTAAGGATGCAATTCTGTTGATAATTTGTGTTCTTTTTGCTGTTCATCTCAAAAATACTTTGGTTAGATTATTTTTACATTTGATGATAAACGGTCAACTTCTTATGATTTAGCAAACAAAAAGGAACATCTTTTGAATTCCTTTAAAATAACATACCCAATCAACAGAATACACATAGTGACAGTAGGATCAGTTCAGGATAATGTTGGCCTCTCTGCTCTGCCTTACTTAAGAATGGTGCAGGCTTTATGAACAAAGGCCATTTCAAATTCCATGGAATTTTATTGCATTGAGCTTCGTTAAAAATGAACACAATTTTATATGTTCAATGAAATTGCAGCACTGTGCATCTTTCTACATCTATGACAAGTCTGTCTTTAATTATAACGCCAGTGTCTTGATACGGCATTGTGTCATCTTACAGTGTATGATGACAAGTTAACTCCTTATGACAAATATATTTGGAGGCATAACAAGAGCTCATTCGGATAAATGCAATGCTTTCCGATTGTGCTCATGTTCTATTAGTTATCCGATATTTATCACTTAATACAACAGCACAAAAACAAATCGTCTGGAAATATCATGTTGCTGTTTCTGGGACCTTGTTGGGTGAAAATTGGCTGCTGTGTTTCCTACATTACAACAATTCATGAGTATTTAATCACCTAAAGCGGACTTTGGGACATGAACAAAACTCGGTGGTCTTCCAGAGGATGGAATTGTCCTTGTCTAAGTGTTACAAACTGACACATTGCAGGATCCAGGACTACATGCTAAAGAAATGAAAAGCAACAACTAAATTCAACTCTCCTTCTCTCATTCTAAATTTTTCAGTGGCATCAATAATTCCACAAGTAAGTTAGTGATTTGTTATCAAATATATTGTTTTTAAAGTTCTGATTTGGTCGCATTTC